CAAGTAATTAGTGTCAGAGCTGGTGCAAGAACCCTTTACTTGGTGCCCTAAACTAGTCTGTATTCTTATAATGCATTTCTCTCACATGCATTGGATAGAACTCTAAATTTTAGTTGAACTTCCCTTTAAGGAGAGTGTAGTTTATAGTGATTTATATTGTTGTTTTGCTTATGGTTGACCCTTACCAGTCTTATTTTTTAAACAGCTTTATTGAGGCTTAATTGATGTACAATATTTTGTACATATTTAAAGTACACAATTTTGTAGATTTTTTTTTATAGCAAAGGTGGAAATTTATTGAAGAACAAGCACGGACTCCCACGCGGAGAGGAGGAAAGAATCTCACAGCACAGACTCCCACGTGGGAGGCAGAAAGAGTCCCCTGCAGATTTTGATATATGTATAAATTCATGAAACCTCAATATAGTAAGCATCTTTAGTACTATGGAAACTTTCCTTGTATTCCTGTGAAGTGTCTCCTTCCCATTCCTGCTACCCCCACATTCCTTTTTTTTAAAAGAAATATTTTTATAGATTTCATAGAGGAAGGAAGAGGGAGAGAGAGATGGAAACATCAACGATGAGAGAGAATCATTGGTTGGCTGCTTCCTGCCCATTGGACACGCGCCCCCTCCCCCTCAACTGGGATCGAGCTTGCAACTTGGGTATGTGCTCTGACTGGGAATCAAACTGGTTCATAGGACAATGCCCAAACACTAAACCACATCAAACAACACTGATCTGCTTTCTTTGCTATATGTAGATTAGTTTGTATTTTCTAAAGTGTTATATAAATGGAATTATAGCTTCAACCATATTATTGTTTGTATCAATAGTTTGTTCTCCTTTTTGTGTATGTGTGTGTTGTACTCATTTGAGGACATTTTCCACTGATTTTTAGAGAGAGTGGAAGGGAGGGGGGAAAGACAGAGAAACATTGATGTGAGAGGGACACATTGGTTGCCTCCCACATGCTCCCCAACAGGGATTGAACCTGGTACGTGCTCCTGGGTCTGATGGATTGTCGGTCGACTAACTGGGTGGGAGGATCTACTTTAGCAGCCAGGACTTAGACAGGGTTCGAATCTGTTCCATATGTTTCATTCTGGAGCCCAGGGGGTGGAGGTGCAGGGGCTACCCGGGGCATGCTCTCTTCTGACAATAACTGGAGCACAAGATGCCAAAGAAGACTATGCAAGCACATTTTTAGCTTCTGCTCTGTCACACGGGCTAGCATTCCATTGGCAAAGCAAGTCCCATGGCCAATTTCAACATCCATGTGGTGGGGAAATAATCCTTGTCCACTGCATTGCTCTGGAAGATCCCGTGACAGATGAAGGCGCAATTCACTCTACCTCAGGAAGCCACAGGGTTCTTGGGTAGTTGTGAGGACTTACCTTGCCGCCTCGTGGGAAGTGGAGGGACAGAGAACTTGCTCCAAAAGAAACAGGGGGAGGATGAGCCCTGATAAGGAGCTGTGTTATACCGGTGCCAGGACACAAGCTGGCTCTCTATTTCCTCCTCGCTGTACCTTCCGGTTCCTCTGTTCCTTTCTTCTCCTACCTAGGAATCTTCAACTAGGGCTCAGCCATGATGATGCCAATCAGACAAGGAATGGGGTCCAGCCAGCAGTTGTAGCAACAGCCGCAGGAGTGGGGCTATCCATTCAGAGAGCTGGCGACCGCAGGAGCAGCAAGGCCATGGCAGAGGCAATCAGAGAATGAGACCTCAGGGTCCTGCTTTCCATAACACAGAGTGTGGCCAAATAAGCAGTCTCCAAAATACTTTGTAAACGGTTAAAAGATATTATATAGGAGATTAAATGGGAGACTCTTTGTTTTAGTTTCAGCTGAGGCCTTAAGATAATACATGCCACATTTCAAAGCGAAATGGAAGACCACACATATTTACAAAAGGAGAGTAGAGAAAGATACTTTTGCATCTTTAGTTGATATTCCACTGTCAGTCTATAAAAGATGTGGGAGAGTTCAAGAAAAGAGCTGGAGAGAAGAGGGATGGCTTCCTGAGGCAGAGTTCATGTACTTTCATGATCTGAGGGTGACTGGAGAAGCCATGGTAGTTGCCTGAGTTTTTAATCCAGAGGCAAGAGAAGAACCCACCCCACAGAATAAATGCAAAGGTATGGTGGGACAAAAAAAAAAAATGCTCTTATATGGTTACATCCCAAGAATCAGACTGAATATTTGAAACACATTACTGGAATGTGATTACGATTTACTTTATTAAGTGATTTATTAGTTACTATTGCAGAAATTGCTAATTGTCCACTGCAGTAGAACAAAAGTAGTACTTCTGTAGGTACTATGTTTTCCAGGCCCCCTTGCAGCTAGGAATGGCATGTGATTAAATTCTATAAATGGAAGTGACATGTGCCTTTTCTAGGCCTTAAAACATAGCATATGTGTTTCTCCACACTTATTCTTCTTCCTGAAATTTAGAGTAGGAAGTGCCTTCAATCCAGCTTTGTTCAAGTAGGTAAAGATATTACCCCAGGGCAGTGCTTCTCAAATGTTTCTCTGCATAAGAATCACCCAGGGAGTTCAATAAAACAGAGGCTAAAACTAGGATTCAGTATGTCTGCAGTGGACTCAAGAATTTGCATTTCTAGCTCCCAAGTGAAGCTCATACTGCTAGTCCTCAGACCACACTTGAAGGTGCACCACTGCAGAGTACGGTGGAGATGCAGGGGGAAAAAATCTGGGTTTCTGAATGTCTTGTGTGGGACAAGGGAACTTTTCTACCGATCTTGGGCTATTTTGTGAGAGCATCATATTTTTGGGACTCTTTTATAGTAGCTTAGTCATTTACCCTAGCCAACATAATCATCCTGACGTTCTGCCAATTCTTCCCCATGTCTAAACCAATTCTCTCCCACAATTCTCTTCTGTTTTATCTTGAACTTCCCTTCATGGTTATGGAGAATAAGATTAGCCACCTCTACTAAATGAATTTCAAAAAAGCTGGTATCTAGAATGTTATATTCAGCTGTCAATTCGCTTAGATGGGTAACCCATTTCTCAGGCAAGGATTTTCCCTCAAGTATCTTTCCAGAGGAGATATGGTGGGCTTGGAGAGAACAGGATTTCCATGTAGCAAATCTCCATCATGACCGAGCCTTTAAACATAGCTACTTGAAAGACAGCTGAATTTCAGTAATTTTTTATTTTGGATGCAAAGATGGGGGAACATTCAGAGCTTCCTAGGACCTTGAAGAATTGCCCTGCCTTCTGGGCCACCTTCTCCATGAGCCACGTTCAAGGACAGTCTCACGGCGCACATTTGGCCAGGTATTGAGATAAATCCTTATTTTTGCAGTTCTTTTCCCAGGGCATCCTAAGGATAGAAATAAGACATAGATCAAAGGCAGAGTCAGAAGTCTGCAAGGGCTCGATGGAGAGGGAATGCAGGGCCTGCAGGCTGGAGTCTGTTTATGCTGTGGGAGAGTCCTAGGTATTGAAGGCGTGCCCACCTGAGGTATAAGTGGGTGGGTGCTGCAGGGATACCTGGGGTGAAAACATCACAATATTATTCTGCCTTATTTCACCTCAGCAGAACAGTCTCGACTCCTTACAAAGCCCAGGGAAAACCCTACCACAGAGATGCTGCTCACATCAGCATCCTAGACACAGTGCAGGCCCATCCTCAGCAGAGGGGCAGGTCTCTGCCCTTCACAGTCTCCTTACCAAGCAGGCATCCCCTTGGATTCGCTCACAATCCTCTTGACACAGTTGATGTCATCACTGATGTCATCATCCACAAGTTCTGAAACGAAAAGTGGATGAGTGCAGAGAGAGAGAAAAATCCCTTTTCCTGTTTTCATAATTAATCATTTTTTGAAGAGTCCCAAAGGAAACTTGAAACCCTTTATCTCTGGAGCCTTTCAGAGGGTTTGCCTTTCATTTTGCTGGGATCTGGTGCCTTTGCTAAGAATCTGTTTTTTTTTGGTTCTGTTCTCTCCAGAAGGCATCCAGGACTTGGTGGATCAGAGAGAGACGTTGCTTCAGGCATCTGCTTAGTGTGTCCCGGGTGCTATGTGCATTTGTGGAATGGTGGTGCAGAGGTGTCCTGTCAGGAATGGGATAGCATATCTTGAGAGATGGGGACTCATGAAGACGAGTCAAGGGTCAAGGTATCAGTGTATCTCCCTCCCTGCTTTTCAGCAGAAGGGTCTCTGTGGAATCCTGTTTTAGTGTGAGGACTACTTAGGGCCCTTTTATTTATTTTATTTATTTTTTTTTTCAGCTTGCAGATTCTTTTATCTTTATTCAATGTTAAAAGATAGGAAAAAGGCATCCTATACTAATGCATAAAAACCCTTGGAAAAAAATCAATATTAACCAGGTATAGTTCTATAAGAAAGAGCTAATATTCTAATTTTTCAGTTCAGAACATCTGAGAAAGCATTTTTTTCATCAATACAAAAGTTTATTTAACAAAAGTTCAATGTGAAAATGGACAAGACTCAAAAAAAAAATATAAAAAAAAAAGAAAAAAAAGAAAAAAAAGAAAAAAAAGAAAATGGACAAGACTCTATCTTTATATTGTAGGAAAACAGGTGCTGTGGAGAGGGGATATGTGGAAGCAATTGATTTCTCTGGTAACTACAGCCATTCTTCATACTCGTTCCAAGGCTTCTAACATGATGATACTATTTCCTCGGATAACCACCATTCCAATATTGTTCTGTTGCCCACCCGTTGCCATCTCCACACATTCATCTATCACAAGATTCATAAAGGGATCAAATCCCTGTAATATTCCTTGGACATGTCTGCCACCATTTAATTTCAATGATAACTTCTTGTCCATAAATTTTTTTAACTCGGGAGGGTGAGCTTTGCTCATGGTGTCCAAGCGAGCTCACAGACACTTCCAAACGGAATTCGGGGCCTCTCTGGCGCTCCCCTATTTTGTATACTCAGCTCCCACAGTGCATGCTGAGGGTCAGGTGTGAGGGAGTAATGCATTGAATTTGGCACTTATTTGATCTGCCCCCGCTCCACCCGGCCCTCAGAGGGGATAGTGTCCTTACTGCTGCACTCTATGTTGCAGGCGTTTTTTGAGGGATCATTCTTGTCTTGGCACCACCTCTGGTTGTTCAGCTGGAAGATCCCATAGTTACGACTGCCATTGGAGTATATTCCATAAAAAGCCAGGGTGTTGAGGTTACTCGCATATTCGGCCATGCAGACCCCTGTGTTAGAGAGAGCAAAAGGTGTGGATAAAAAGAGATTTCCATAATAAGATTCAACTTGTGCTTTACTAGAGCTACCAGAAAGAAAAGTCCATTAAGACTGAAATGCAGCCTAAACCGATTTGTCACAATGGATAAAGCATCGGCCTGCGGACTGAAAGGCCCCAGGTTCGATTCCGGTAAAGGGCATGTATCTTGGTTGTGGGCCCATCCCCAGCGGGGGTGTGGGTGGGAGGCAGCTGATCAATGTTTTTCTCTCATCAATGTTTCTGACTCTCTATCCCTCTCCCTTCCTCTCTATAAAAAAATCAAATATATATATATATATATATATATATATATATATATATATATATATATTTAAAGACTGAAATGCAAAGACTATGAGACCCTCAATGTTAGAGGTCATTTGTAATCCAGGTGTATCCCCAGGCTTAAGCAATAATGAGGCCATGGTAAGCATGTAATAACAATTTGTTAAATATTTGGAATGCCCAATCATTAATCACGGTCTGTTCCACAATTTAACCTTTCCAGCCTCACCTTCCAGCCAAATATCCAATTCTTGTCATGTATATGCACTTTTGCTCTATATCCCAAAGTATATGCAAGAGAAGAGGTAGAGAAGTAGTGGAGGAGAATCCTAGGAAGGAATTCTAGACAGACTATAGGTTTGGCATGGAGAAAATTGAAGCTATTCAAGAGAAGGTAAAATAGTTTCATGTGTACCTACCAATGTGATGATTCTCAATCCTTTTCATTGCCTCACCTTCTATTCTCATGATCCCCATTTAACTCCCTTGTGACATTAGTAGAACAACCTTAGACAAACCCAGCAGATGTAGGTTATTTTTGGTAGAGGAGAGGGTGGGAAGCAACACCTGTTGTGCTACAATGACTTGGACTAAAAAGAATGCAGGGGAAAGCAAAGATGATGACTGCAAAACTAAAAGTAGGTAGGTTAGGTTTTGCGTATGTCCAAGGAAATATTCCAAGCCATTGGGTGGGAAGGTGATTTGGGGGAGAAGCTAAAGAAAATATATGATAGGATAACTCCTGGTAGAAAGAGAGAAAAGGAGAACCAAATAGGAATTACAAGACAGAGGAGACAGAGACAAGAAGAACAGACAGGGTAGTGGGAGAAAGCTGGTTTGGGAAAAGTTTGCTGGGTTGGGGAAGAGGGCCGCTTTGAACAGAGACAGAAAGGGAAGGGCAGTTGGGGGTGACCAGACCAGCAGGGGAGGGCAGTAGGGGGTGACCGGGCCTGCAAGAGAGGGCCCTTGGGGGCGATGAATGAATACTTCATACTCACAGTCTGCCAAGCTATAGCCATAGTAGCCATCCATTCCATGAGCCTTCAGCTGGTGGGCCATCTGGCATTTGGAGAAGCCTTTGGCATTGTAAGCCGCAAAGAAGCAGCTGAAGAGAGAGATGATCAGAATTGCGCTCATTTTTGCAGCTAGTGCAACCCAAGAACTGGTATGTCCAGGGCACTCTTGTCTCTTATACCTTGTAGACACAAAGGTGTCTCTGAGTGAACAGATGTGCTGGCATCTGTGCCAGGAAGAAAGACTTGGCTGCCAAGGCTAATTACCCAAGCTTATCTTGCCAGTGTGAATTTTAAGGAAGGGGACGTAACCAAGAATGGTACCATAAATAAAGTTTCAATGGGGAAGCAGGCAATCCTAGATTTGGGCCAGTGCAGGGTGGTAAGGGGTGGGGGTGGAATGGAGAAAGAAGGAAATGATAAGAGGAAGAAGTGTGATTTTCAAGGCTTGTACTTTGTTGGAATGTCCCCAGAGCAGGTTGTCCTATATGCTTTGTGGAACTTTGCTTGTCTGTATCGTTTCACATTTTGTTGCATTTTGAATTTTCTGTCATTTATATCACACGAGAGGCCTGGTGCATGAAATCTGTGCACAGTGGGGGGGGGGGGGGAGGAGAGCCTGGCCTGCACCCTCTCCAATCTGGGGCCTCTTGGGGCATGGAGAAAATTGATGTCTGACTGCTGGTTTAGGGGTCAGGCCTAAACCAGCAGTCAGACATCCCTCTCACAATCCGGGACTGCTGGCTCATAACTGCTCACTTGCTTGCCTGATTGCCCCTAACTGCTTTGACTTGCCAGCCTAATTGCCCCCTAACCACTCTCTTGCTGGCCTGATTGATGCCTAACTGCTCCCCTGCTGGCTTGGTCACTCCCAGCTGGCCTGATCTCTCCCACCTACACTCCTTTGCAGGCCTAGTCCTGAACTGCCCTCCTCTGCCAGTCTGGTTGCCCCCAACTGCCCTCCCCTGCTGGCCTGGTTGCCCCCAATTGCCCTTCCTTGGTTGTCCCTAACTGCCCTCTCTTGCCAACCTGGTCATGATTTATAACCTGTCAGACACTGGTCTAGACTCTAGGTAGGTATATAGCAGTGAAAAAACAAAATTTGGTTAGTAGAGTTATCTATCTACTACTTTCAGTTATCCATATCTTAATGAAGGGTCCATATTACCATGATCAGATACCCCCTTCATTCAGAGCTGGCTTTTCTGAATGCAAAAATCCTGCCTGGGAAAAAAATTCACCTTAATAGAACTAGCTTCTTGTATCCTCATCTCCAACTCACTGATATAAGCATCAAGAATGAATGGAGATCTTTAAAAGGGCAATGAAAGAAGGCAGAACCTCGGAAGTCACCAACTATAGATCCCCCCCCCCCCTAAATATTTTTCTCTTTTCCTCGCCCATTGAAGCTAGAGAGCCGTCCAGTTCCTGAGTAGGGGGGGCTGGGGATTGAGAAAATGAAAAAAAAAAAAAAAAAGAAAAAAAAAAGAGACAGACACAGAGTTAGAAGGAAAAAGCTTGGGCTGGGTGGGGCCACTGTCCTCTGACTGGACAGGGGCAGGAACAGTGACCCCGAGCCAATACAGCATGTTTATTTTCTACAGCAAAAACCCCACCAAAACCAGGAAGATTTACTAAAAGTCAAGACAAAGGAGATTATGTGCATTTTTTTTTTTTTTTTTTTTAAGGTTTACTTGTAAGACTTTTATTGTGATTGATCAGTGGAGGCAAAGAGCACAGTTCATCTTTATTGAGACATAACTAATGATTAAATGTTCTGTATCAGGTCTCATTATAAGTGAAACGGGACCTTAATGAGTTTTATCTCTAAGTCATATGGGGCAGGGTGCTTCTTGTATTTTATTTTTTCTTTTACATTTTTAAAATTAAATTATTATCTGTGTACATATTTTAACATTGCCCGCCCCTCCCATACATACCCTCCCTCCCCAGAGTTTTGTGTCCATTGGTTGAACTTATATGCATGTATACAAGTCCTTCGGTTGATCTATTATCTCCTCCAGATCTCCCTACCCTACCTGCTGTAATTTGACAGTCTGCTTGTTGGTTTACTGTCACTATATCTATCTTTTGGTTCATCAGTTTATAATGTTCTTTATTATCCATAAATGAGGGAGGTCATGTGGTGTTTTTCTTTCATTGACTGGCTTATTTAACTCAGCATGATGTTCTCCAATTCTATCCAGGTTGCTGCAAATGATAAGAATTTCTTCTTTTTTATGGCAGCATAGTATTCCATTGTGTAGATGTACCAAAGTTTTTTGATCCAATCATCTGCTGACAGGCACCTAGGCTGTTTCCAAATTCTAGCTATTGTAGATTGTGCTGCTATGAACATAGGGGTGCATATATCTGTTCTGATTGGTGTTTCTAGTTTCTTGGGATATAATCCTAGGAGTGGTATTACTGGGGCAAATGGGAGTTCCATTTTCAGTTTTTTGAGGAAACTCCACACTGTTCTCCACAGTGGTTGCACCAGTCTGCATTCCCACCAGCAGTGCACGAGGGTTCCTTTTTCTCCGCAACCTCGCCAACACTTGTCGTTTGTTGATTTGTTGATGTTGGCCATTCTGACAGGTGTGAGATGGTACTGCATTGTTGTTTTGATTTGCATCTCTCGGATAATTAGTGATTTTGAGCATGTTTTCATGTGCCTTTTGGCCTTCCTTCTGTCTTCTTTTGAAAATATTCTATTTAGGTCCATTGCCCATTTTTTAATTGGATCGTTCATCTTCCTTTTATTTAGTTGTATAAGCTGACTGTAGATGTTAGAGATTAAACCTTTATCAGTGGTAACATTTGCAAATATATTCTCCCATACAGTGGGCTTTCTTGTTGTTTTGTTGATGGTTTCTTTTGCTGTAAAAAAGCTTTTTATTTTGATATAGTCCTATTATATTTATTAATTTTTTAAGGAGAAGGTTTTATGGAGCTTGTCTTCTTTACCTATTTTAGCAGTGACTTTGGTAGACATATAAATAGACATATAAATATGCATGGCTCATCAAATTTCAGCTGATATGAAATAAAGAAGGGAAACCAATATTATAGTTGGACTAGATTCTTCTGCCAGGGCCAACTCTGGATTTTCTGCTTCTCTCCTGAAGAGGCTCTATGCTACTGGCTTCTCCCCACCCCAGGGTGCTCACAGAAGTCTGTCATCCCTATTCTGTATGTGCTGCTATGGACACCACTGCCTTTTCTACCTCCCTTCTCTTGTGGGGCTTGAGGAAGAGCCTCCCTGGGGACGAGAAGCAGTTTGCAGCCAAATGGAGCAGCTGCAGTTGCTCCAGTTAGATGTCTGGTCCACCAGGGACACACTCAGGTGTTTCACTCACATTTAATGGCCTTTCTCTTATGGGGTTGGACGTAAGAAGAGCTACAACCAAAACCACTCTTACCCAACACTTTATCATTCATAAAGCCAACATGAACTTACTTAATATGTAGCTGGTTCTCACAATGAACCCCCAGGGGAATGTGCGTATGCTATGCTTTGTCCTTGCAGCACTGGAGTGGGTTAAGGACTAGGTTAGCAGTCTTTCTACTCTGGCATGGGTTAAGACCTGCTTTAATCTCTTGGAAGCAGGAGGAAACTACAGTATAATTCTATAGATAATTTGTTAGTTTAACATCACGTATTAATATATTTGATAGTTTGACATCACGTATTAACATAACACCAGGTCAGGCCCCTCCAAGATCATGGAGGCAGACAGTGAAGTGCGGCTGCCTGACCACTGAAGAAGGAAACGTGCTACAGAAACACAGCACCCAGGTCCTTCTGCATGAAAGCTGAGGACAGACCTAGGCCAGAAGGAAGCCAGCACAGGGTGAGGGCAGGGGTTGGTTTTCCTGAGTAACAGACTAGGATGGCCCTTGCTGGGAGAAACTGACAAGTGTTTTACCTTGCCAGGCGAAAGAGTGAGTGGAAGGACTTGCATGAGGAAATGGTGACCTGTAAGGAAATAGTTACTGTGTTTTCTTTGAGGTAGTAGCTGAGAATAAAATAGTAGCTGCCTAGGTCTTAGATTGTGTAAAGAGCCCGAGGGAGATAACAGATAAGAAAGGGAAGAATAAGAGTTTTTTTTTCTAGGTAAAAAAACTCTAAGTCAGTGTTTACTGACTTAGAGTTTATGATAATAGTAATAAAAATATCCAACTTGTGCTTAAAAATTTGTTTAAATTTTAGCTTTTTTCCTGAGGTATCTGTGAATTTTATGGAAGTGAAAGATATATATATTTGTTATTAAGTTTTATATATATTTTAAGTATACACACACACACACACACACACACACACACACCAAGTGACAAGAACACCAGAACGACAGGTTGCAATGACTTCCACTGCAGTGGCCAACTGGCCTGATGGGGGCACCGATTGGCCCGCCCCTGCCCAACAGTAGCCCCTCCCCCTCAACCTGCCCAGCCCCGATGGCCTCCATTAGGCCCAGCCCTGATGGCCACCCCCATCCACTAATTCATGCACTGGGCCTCTAGTTTTTGTATAAAAATGTGCCATGACCTTAATTTAAGAAACATTTATCACCTGGCTGGGAGGCTCAGTTGGTTGGAGCATCATCCTGTACACCAAAAAGCTTACAGGTTTGATTCCCAGTCAGGGCATATACCTAGGTTGGGGCATGTACAGGAGGCAACTGATCAATGTTTCTTTCTCATATCAATGTTTCTCCCTTCCCCTTTCTCTAAAAAAAAAAATCAATAAATGTATCCTCAGGTGAGGATTTAAAAAAAGAAATATTTATCTAGATTTATAACCTGTCAGACACTGGTCTAGTCTCTAGGTAGGTATATAGCAGTGAAAAAACAAAATTTGGTTAGTAGAGTTATCTATCTACTACTTTCAGTTATCCATATCTTAATTAAGGGTCCATATTACCATGATCAGATACTCCCTTCATTCAGAGCTGGCTTTTCTGAATGCAAAAATCCTGCTTGGGATAAAAATTCACCTTAATAGAACTAGCTTCTTGTATTCTCATCTCCAACTCACTGATATAAGCATCAAGAATGAATGGAGATCTTTAAAAGGGCAATGAAAGAAGGCAGAACCTGGGAAGTCACCAACTATAGATCCCC